TTTTTTTTTTCACAAAATTCCAACTTCTCTTTCAACTGTACTTTGTCGCACAGGGGGCACACGGGAGGAACGGAACTGCTTGACCCCCCACCAAATGATACGACCAACGTTGACATAACTCCAAAAAACTTCGACTTCCTAGCTTCCGTGGTTCTCGAGATAATGATTTTACCCGACAAAACTTTAACGGGAACGTACATTTTACGTAAAGGCTGAATTTCTGTGGGTGCGGGAAGGCTGAATTTAAATTTGTGGAGTCACACGTTGGCGGAGAACACTCTACTAAAATTTCAGCCGCCTAGCTTTTGCGGTTCCCGAGTTGAAAATGTGGAACAAAATCTCGGGGACACACACACACACACACGCACGCACACACACGCACACACGCACGCAAACACACACACACACGCACACACACCAAATATCGTCACTGTTTATCATCACTATTGCACCAAATGAGCATTCGATTGCGCCGTCACTGGCACAAGCAATTGTAATATATCTGTTGTCAAGTGAAGAGATGGTGCTGAAGATCGGAGTAGCGGGATCGCAATGGAAGAGAGAGAGCGGGAAAAAGCTATCTTTCCACGCTCACTCGCATTTGAGCGCCCTTTTTACTATTATTATTAATAGCACAGCGTCGCAAGCTCAGCAGCAGCATACCTGTTAGCAGCAGAGCAGCGTATGCTGCCCCCATAGTACCGCATCACGTACGCCATCTCGTCCGTTCACCAGCCACTCCCCGTCCGCTGTGCGCATCATTTCGACCTGCAATACCACAGCACATTGCCCCCCGTCTCACAGCCACCACGTCAGCAGCCCCCGGCACCTTCACGCGCCAACTGCAACTCCACAGCTACAGCGCAGCGCAAATGCGCCTCCCCACGCACCGAGCGCTCGCGACCACCACCCCGAAACACCGACCGCCCGACCACGCACCCGGCCAACGAACACCCAGAAGCATCAGCACCCAGCCACAGCCGCCAACCGAATGAATGAAACTAACCATAGTAGCCTGATGCATATATTGCAAAACAGCACTGCAAGACCAATAACGAAATTAGCAGCACAACAACCCCACCTCCTTTCTCACGCGATTTTGTGAAAGGCAAATGGGTGTGTGTGTGTGTGT